AAAACGTCAACCAGTGAAATGACCTCATTGCCTGCTGCAACCTGATCCTCTTACAGGATTGTCCCTCCTATCATCCCCCTCCCCTCCCCCTCCCAGCAGAGTCACTTCCTCCAAACCGTCCACTGTACTCTGGCAGCATGTGTTACGTGTGAGACAAGCTCTCTCTCTCCCCTCCCGCTGCTGTTTTTCTCTAGTGGAATGTACCAGGCAGCCCCAAAAGGCTTACAAGACATGAAGGAAAGTACTGGAGTGAGGCCAAGAACAAGGGGAAGAGTTCCAGGCCGCAGCCAATCAGACTGAAGCTCGTCCAGCTCTGTCAGGGCTTATACACAGCAGCGTGTGTGTCTGTTGTTTTGATGGTACAGTGTGATTATTTACACATAGACAAAAGGGTTTGGAAGATGAAGTGAATCAGCAACTGTTGGAATGAGCACACACCCTTAACAGTTTTGTGGCTGGTGAGTCTGTCAGCTCATGCAATGTGGCAGAGATGAAAGGCATTCATGGTTTTGGGAGAAAACAGCAAATAATGCCCACAAAACATCCAGTAAAAGATCAAATAGGTGACCAGAGCAGAGTTAACTTAAGCACATTGCTATTCTGTCAATTATTAATCGAGCTCAGTTTTCAAACACTACAAACGTTTACCCCCGTATTCCAGCTTTTCTTAGTTTTTCATTATCTAAATGATTCATCTGTGACTTGTAGACAAGAACAGACTAAATGATTGATTGCGTAAAATATATGATTAATAATGATAATAAAAAATACTAGTGGCAGCTCTAACACAATGTAAGCTTCCTCACTCTATATTTAAAAAAAAACTTGTACATCCCCTGATGTCAATTCTTCACAAAATATTCCAAACTTTTCCATGTACATGTCAACCAATCCACAGCAAACCACAACTTCCCTTTCTGTTATTGATGTAGGAGTTTCCCCTCTGTGCTCTGTAATTATGCCTGATGTTGCACAACTGCAAAACAAAGAGTGGATATCACATGGTCAGTGAAATGTGCACGATTATATCTAGGAAACTTATCATTTAAAACATGCATGTATGGTACATTAAGGAAATGTGCACGATTATATCTAGGAAGCTTATCATTTAAAACATGCATGTATGGTACTTTAAGGATTAAAAAGTGACATAAAATCAGCCTGAAAGTTAACAGGAGTAACTGAACATTTAAATGTCATACTTTTTTGCTAGTAATGGTGTCTTGTTGTTGGTATATTACTAAATCTGAATGAAGATTCTAAGAACTTCAAAACATGATTAATGTATAAAATGTTTTTTTTTTTTGTTACGGGCTATACAAGTCTAACCAGGTGCAGCACAAAAAATAGAGCTCCAGAGCACAAATAGAACAAAAACAAAGGCTGGTACAAAATCCTGCCAGTTGTTTTGCTGAATATTGGATTCATTTTAGTAGTCCAGTAGGCCGTCTTTGCATTTTTTCCTGAGGTTATGTAGGAATCGTTCCCTTACTGGGGGATATTTATTTCTTAGAAGTTCACTTCGGGAGTATTTCTTAGAAAACACACCATGAGCAGCAGCCTGGGGCTTTGACTCTCCCACTAGAGAAAAGTATGCAGCATGTTGTAACTCTGTAAGACGACTGGCTGCTTCTAGCAAACGTAGCTTCTTGGTCTTTGACAGACTTATTTGAACATGCCAGACATGTGCATTTCATGAATACATTTCCTGGTATGACTGTTCTTATTCACATGAACAGATACATACAGTGGGTAGCACTGTATTGTTTAGAATAGATAGTACAGGAATGTTGTTGCAACACATCCTGCTGGCCCAGACTTAGGATCCTATATATCAAGTACTACAAATTCTTCTATCCTTTAATGTTTAAACGTGTGGGGGGTTTTAGTTTAGAAAAGGCCACATAAACACTGTCAACATGAAAACTGTTTATGGCACCATTGTGCACCTTTGCATCCTATGGAAATATTGTAGATGTCTTGCACATGATTTAAAACATGTCATCAAATTCAGCCATACAGAATTCATATCTTAGAATAACTTGTTACCTCTGTTTCTGCATTTCAAATAGAGTTGCGTGAATTTAAAATGACTTTGAACCCATCTTGGCTGTATTAGTGAGGTTTACATGTTAAAGGTTTTGTTGTTGTTGGGATAATTATGAAAAGAAATACTTTTCAATGCAGTAACCTTTTTTCAAATGCATATACTGTAATATATGAGAATGTGGTTTGTTTCATGACCTCTGATGAGGCAATAACACACTAATATGGTGGAAATCATAAGAACTGCTTTTTCTTTGTAACCCATATTTTAGCAGACAGGACTTGAATTGCAGTGTCGCCAACAGCAGCAACAACAACAACAACAACAACAACAACAACAGAGAAACGCCTCTTGTGCATCATATTCCCGTCTGGAATAACATCTAACTATGAATGGAACCTCCAGCTGAGTTACTCCTGATTGAGTTCTATTCACATAAGTTGTGTTGATGCCACCTGAAGTTATTTATGATGTCCTGATCCTCTTCCTTCTGACCTGTAGTAACCACAGTCCCACCCCCCTGCACTTGAATGTATGATCTTGTTTTCCAACTAAAACTTTGACTACACCATGTGCTCTTGGCTAGGGATAGGCAGCTCGAAGCTTGCGTAATGTTTGCTACCACTGGGCTTATGTTTGAGGGGCAGAAGGTGAAAAGAGGAGGAGGAGGAGGAGGAGGAGAGGCAGAAAGCCTCCGGTCACAAGACAGTTGACTCCTGAAAACAAACCGTACATGGTTTTAAATTGAATACCTTAGATAAACATTACATTAATGCCATAGAGAACAGGCCTTCAGACTAGGGATTATATATTCTGAGCCTTAGGAAATCACTAAGGACATTCAGTTCAACAACAAAGTGCAAGCTACAATAAAGCATTTACATTTCTCAGCATGAGTAATGTTATATTTGAATATAAAATGCAGTGCCATATGAGATGCAGCAATATGATCGGGTGCATTACTATACAATGTGATTTGATCAATAAGATTGTATAGAAGAGGATAGGATAACATACCATACAGTAAAATCTGATGTTACACAATATCACACCTCACAAATACAACACGATACAGAAGATACTACACAACATGATTTGATATTATGATACAATACAATGAGTTAGGATACTATAAAATATATGATACAATATGATATGATAGAGTATGATACACTTTACTGTCCCCTTAGTGAAATTTGTCTTGGACTCTAATGCTGAAGATAAGGAGCTAATATCTAGACTTAATGAAAAAGATGCATATTAAAAATATGTATGAATATGTCATCTCAAAAAGGATTTTGCCATCCTGTGTAGTGTCTCTGTCAAAATACCGTTGATCTCTAAATACCTGTGGATATCATTATGGACTTGTCATGTCTGTGCCAGTATTGCTTTGGCTTCTCACAATTAGCAGATGGGTTAGAAGTGCACACATTGCCGCATCAACTGAGTTCTAGGATATCACAACCATGAGACGACGTCTACACGTTTGTCTGAAGAGCCTCCTCAACAGGCTCCAAAACGTGCTGTGTCTGCCTTGTCACGCGTCACAAAGGGTGGGTGATGCAAGACCACTGTGCTCACCTTCTATGTAATTGACTTATCGTGTTTTTGCAGCATTATTATCTGTGTCCTAATATTGTTAAGTATCAGAATAAGTTACTTTTTCCAAAGCAACTCCATTTGAATCACTACAATCAGATGAAAATAAGAGTAAACTGGAGTTGTTATTAAATTGTGGCCAACAGTGAAAACTTCAGCATTGTGGACTACTTGTTTTATTGATTCCCATTTTACTCAAAGATAAAAAAAAAAAAAAAACATGGGCTGTCTGCTGGTTTCTTTGGAGACCAAAGACCGACAAACTCACAAAAAGAACATCATTGTATAAAATATGTTCTGTTATAGATTAACCCAATTAATAGTGGACAAAATCAAACAAATATAGCTTTATGTCTCCGTCCTCAACAGAAAAATACTGCAGCAGACCTACCTAGATCATATATCAACAGGGGTACTTTTACTTTTAATAAGTAGACCTACATTTTTACACCTCTTTACTGGTAGCCTATTTTAGTGCATATATTTCTTATTTGTCGTGAAGAATAACAACTGAAACGTTTTCTAGATGAGCATGTCAGTCAGTGTATTTGTGTTTGTTACTGAAATGCTGCAACAGCTGCAGGTGTTCTGACCCAGTCTCGGTGCATGTAGTGACTCAGACGGGGAATTTCACCCATCTGGCATGGTCATTCAGAATAACGTTAAAGGCATTATAAATGCAAATGTTTCAATTCCACAGACGCAGAAAGGGACACATGGGTGGCGTATGTCTGCGTGAACTCCTTTTTGTATGCATTGAATTGCACAAAGCTGAATAATCTGGCTGTGACGTCTGCTAACAGATACAGAAACATTTATTATGATTTCAACTAAGTCATGGTTTGAACTGGAGGATCTGGTCCGACAACATAATGTCCTGTCTCTCTCCACCTCCATTCACATGCACGTTTCCCCTTTCATCAAAACAGCCGTAGGGGTCGATTGTGTCGATGTGCACGTACTCGTCGTTTCGCTCGTACATACGTCTTGAAGTGGGACCTCTGTAATACAACACAGCTCTCTGGCCGAGTTCCATTTCGTGTGTAGTGACAACATTTTCCCATTACCTTTCCCTGAAACGTGTTAAGAGATCCCTCAAACAGTTTCAACCCACTAAGGGAGACGAACTCTTCGTGTTTTTCTCTTAATTGGTGTATTTTTTTACACAAGATTGGCGGCTACAATCCATTCGTTTATGTCGTCGCAAAACGAAATGGAACCCAGCCCACGTATCTGTTTCTAGAAGGCACGTGATACCTCTAGTCTGTGGTCTGTTGATGCAGTTGCCTGAGGAGGGAGGAGACAAGGAGGAGTCAACAGGGAGGTTATAAAAAGACCTAAACCACAGCTTGTTTGTCACCTTCCACGCTCATCCTATCTGGCGTATCCCCCCCTCGACCGTCCTCTGCGGCTAGTGAAGCAGTGGGTCAAACAACGACGCTAACACTGGAGCTGTAAAATCAACAACGGGGTGAGTAGCTGAAGCGGCTTTGTACTGTTACCTAGACTGTTACCTTGACTGTTACCTAGACGGTGTTAGTTGTTTTTAAGGAGGGCTTTTTATCTGTTTTTTTTTTTTCACCACATTAATTTTACATTATGATTTAGTTTCGCTAACCGTTGTCTAATTCAATCGAGTCGCGTCAAGTGACCGAGAAATAATAAATAAATAAATTAAGAAAAAACAGCGAGTTGGCAGTGTTGGGACTCGGGCGACGTGCTAATGCTAACTTAGCTTCTCTGCGGCGCCGCTACCTTCATCATCATCGCATTACTGAAAACAGCCTGGCTATTCGACACGTATGCTTAGCTTGCCCAAAATGTAATGTAGTGTTTGTGTTGAGTTTCATTCTGTATATTATCCTCGAAACTTTACTTCAAATGGCCTTGAAAAGATAAAAAAAAAGTTGATTTGAACGTGGGCGGCGTCGCAGTTAGCGGCGGCTGCTGCTGCACTGTGATTGTTTTTATCATCCCGTTAACAAGCCGTGTTTTCCCAAATCAAAATCCCTCTTCGTGATTTTTTTTTTTCTCAGTGTTTCATTTATTTGGACCAAACTATAGCTTGTATTTGTGTATCTCAGTGACTGCTTGTAAACGCTGCGTGTGTTTCTGTAATTGTCCGCAGGGCTCCCGTTTAAAGCGCCGCAGCAAGCTGACCATCCAGCGCAGTGTGATCACCTGAGACTCTCTCTGAAACGACCCTGCTGTTTCGGAGAAGTTGAATTTGATATCCCAAGATTTAAAACCACTGCATCCGCCGCTCATCCACCCAAAAATCGAAGCAAAAATGGTTCAAAATAAGATACCCGAAGTCACTGGATTCCATCGCTCTTTCAAGGTGAGTTTGATTTGTTACGGGGAGGGGGGGATATGTAGAGCTCATGTCTTGTCTTGTGGGAAGTCCCTGTACGCATGTATCCGAGGGCATCATCTTGCTAAATATAAACACATCTGTTGCTCTCCCACATCTTTATGTCTGACAAATTGTGCTGTGTGGCCTGGTGTCACGTGTATGTTCAGCTAATGAAAGTGTGACTGCATTAGATGGCGACTGGGTGTTGCTGCAGAAAGTCTGCCTCTTGCATTCATATGAGGCAATATTTGTTTGTGTTGTGTTAGGATGCACGTCTGTGTGGCATTTGTTACCTTTGTGGCTGCGATTGTGACAATCATTGCTGTTTGTAAAAGCTATGGCCCCTTGACTAATCCTGTTGTGGTTTATGGTTGTAGGAAGGAAGATAAGAAATTATCTTATCATTTATGGCTACAATTGAGTCTCTCGACTAAATAGGTCACTGATCTAAACAAACACTTTTCTGCTATTACTCCCTAGGGCCAAAATCCCTTTGCATCAGATGACTTCACCAAAAATGGATCCCATCTTATTGATTCGTCTTTTAATTTTGACTCCTCCCCAAGACATGGTGAGTATTTTAACTTAGTATTTTGAACAGAGTTCAGAGATCTGTTTATGCAGCTTTTTTTTTTTAAATCATGTTTAAAATAAAAAGGTAAATCAACCAAAACATTTGTTGGCCCATAATAATGTAGGCACTCCTGTTTTGCCAGACATGCCTTCCAGCCAGCCTATCGACATCCCCGATGCCAAGAAGAGAAACAAGAAGAAGAAGCGTTGCCGGGCAACTGACAGCTTCTCTGGGCGATTCGAGGGTAAAAACTGTTGTAACTATTGAAAATTTGCCCCATAATAACATTTGGCAACGCTAACTTGTTAAACTCTGCCACAGATGTCTACAGACTGCAGGAAGAGGTATTAGGAGAGGGCGCTTATGCCAGAGTGCAAACATGCATCAACCTCATCACCAATAAAGAGTATGCTGTGAAGGTAAGCCAGCTGACATACTCAGACACTTGATAATTGATATGGAATATTTTTGAAAACATGAGTATAATAAACTGAGTCCTGACAGTTCTCCTCTCACAAGTCTGCAAATGTTGTCCAAATAATTCATGCCATCTGCCTGTTTGGCTAGTGACCTGGTGTTAAATGAGTAGTATTTTTTGCAGACTTCATTCACTTTTGCAGGATGGGTTGAGTTATAAAATGATTGTGTACATGAAGGAGCTGTTAAACAGTCTAATGGAAGAACACTGTTTTAGGGTATGTGTGTCGTTGAGGGAAGTTCTGATCCCAGGGGCAGGAAGCTTCTTTTTTTCCGTACAGTTCAGCTCTGTAACAGATGTCTGCAGGCTTTTCTGTAGTGGTGCTACTGCTGCAGATGATGTGCAACACTAGCTGCTGTTAGTAGACCCTTCCCCTCACTGTTTTTGTAGTTTTTCAGCCAATCAGGGAGCTGGGAGGGATGTACCCACCCCCTTCCTTTACCCCTGTTGCCTATAGGGGACGCTCCTACTGAGAACACTGTGTACTGCTAACTGTGCCAAAACAAAACCCACAGAGAGAGAGGTAGGAGGGGCGCTGGGTGAGAGTTATGACCCAGGGTGTTTACACTGCTTTGTTCTGCTTCTCGCTCAGTATTGTTGAACTTTTTCTTTTTCGTCTCCAAATGGGTGTTGACTTGTGCGTACATGTCTTGACTTGAAGGGACTTCCTTTTTTGGCTCCTATGTGTGATGTTCATTTCCTCATTTCTGGGAACAAAACGTTGTGTTTTTTTTGTTTTTTTTTGATGTGCAGAAAAGCAGAACTGGGGTTTGTTTTTTCTTTGAGTTCTTGACAGTAAACCAAGAATGTCATGGGGACATGCAATGTCCACATTATTTTCTGTTATCTTCATATTCATTTCTATGAAGTTTAGCCTTAACGATTTAAATAAAGGCTGGAGGAAAATGGTTAGTTCCCTATAGAGCACGTGTCCATATCATAGCATTAATATTTAAGAGATATTGGCGCACGTATTCTGTGATCTGTTGCTTTGTTTACCCCTGGTTGGTTTGGTAGATCCCTTGAGACTTTGCAGTTCTGTACGGAGGAGGCATGGGGGTCGCATGTTATTGGGAGGTCATTTAGCTGTTGAAGGGGGGCTCAGACTACTCCTGCCAGATGTCCTGTCTCTCCCCTCCCCCTCCAGACTGAGGTGGGTTGTGTGGGCTCCTTGTGTTGCAATAGCAACAAAAGCCAAAGCACACCAAGGAAGGGCAGACGGCCGTGCAGTGCATGCCTTTCTGACGCTTTGGTTCCCAAACAATACTTCTCCCGAAAGTTATTATTTCACAACACTGAGTTGATGATTGATCATGCAGCGTAACTTGTTTTGCAGAATGCTGTTGTGATTCTGATCTTTGATTTTTGATAAACAACCATAAATCTCTCTCAAATAACAGTCGACCCACTTCCACTTATCATGTTGATAATGCATTTAGTCACGATTTGCACGTTTATGTTGAACCTGCACGTGTGCTTATCAGGGTGTGAGGATTGTGTTGCGATCAGGTGAAAGTGAGCTGATTTGGGGGGCTGTTTGTGCTGCTGACTCAGACTGGAACAGTGCAGAGGCTTTGGACTGCCCACTGGCCTCTTGTCTGTTCATTAATCCTAGACACATACTGAAACTCTGGCCCCACTGAGCTTCAATGGCAACTGTAATCCAGCTAGCAGGAAGAAAAACATGCACAACCTCACAAGCAGACAATAACCAACCAGGGCTGGAAAATTCAGGCCTTTTTTGCTCTGGTGTCAGCAGTCTATCATTCTTTCTCTCTCTTGGCAAAGCATCGTGCAGCTGGTGGCCCCTTAGTGGTTTAGTTCCAGGCATCACTAAGTTATATATATAGAGCCTATTTTTTGTTATCGTAAACAGTTTTGGATAAGTTCATGGGAGGTTGAAAGGAACACTTGTGGCTCCTTCAGAGCTCTTGGGATATAAATATGGGTCACACATGAAGTCTAAATTTAAAGCTGCTGTGACTTGTGTCATTTTCATTCTGTTCTGTCATTACTTTGGCTTGCTGCAGAGAAAGTAGGTTAAAACTATCTTGACAAATGTGTCACAGGGTGGGATAGAGGTAGGGAAGACAGAAAAGTCAAAAAGAAGGTCTGAAAGGATACCAGTTATAGGGCTCTGTATAGGGAATTGGTGCAATACCACATACAGTAAACGCAACCAGTTGTGTTTTTTTTTTTTGTGTGTTTAGTTTCAGCGGAATGCCTTCACCCATGTATCATCTCGAGCAGATGGGTTCAGTTTAGAATCGTTGTCTATTCTCCTGCTTTTTAGAGACTAATTTTAGATGTTGTTATTAAAGCATTATTTTGTTTTGCTCCAGATCATTGAGAAAAGACCAGGTCACAGCCGCAGTCGTGTCTTCCGTGAGGTTGAGATGCTCTACCAGTGCCAGGGCCACAGGTAATGTCCTGTTTATGTTCAACTAAAGTAATGCCACCTGATGACTGGATGGAGACAGTACTATTTAACTCTGTTACCACTGGCTCATTCTGCTCCTGGTTCTTTTCTGCAGTAACATACTGGAGCTGGTGGAGTTCTTTGAAGAGGAAGATAAATTCTACCTGGTGTTTGAAAAGCTCAGGGGAGGTGAGTAAATTATAGCTGATACAGGATGACTGCATCACATCCCATTGTTTATTTTTCAAAAATTCTGGTAATGCTTATGTCCAGTCTCTTGTGTGGCCTGTTGTATATGTGTGTGGGAAGGCTTTCATTCTGTGCTTTGTGCTTGTAAATAAAGCAGATACTCTTTTTCCACCCATCCATTAGGGTCAATCTTGGCGCACATTCACAAGAGACGGTACTTCAGTGAGCAGGAAGCCAGTGTGGTCGTGCAGGACATTGCCAGCGCTCTAGATTTCTTGCACAACAAGGGTAAGACCACTTGTACAAAATGTTGAGTAATTTTGATACATGATAACCAAAATAGGAAAAGCCTGAGGGTATGAACATGGCAATTTATTTTAAGAATTAGCCAAGAGACGCAATAATCTTTTCACATTTTTTTGAATATGGTGTTATACATTTTCCTTTCTCCAGGCATAGTTGTCAAATCTCTAGACAAAACAGAAACTGATTGCCTTTCTTCTATTTGCTAGGAATGGCACACAGAGACCTGAAGCCTGAAAACATTCTCTGCAAGAGTGCCGACAAGGTGAGCTTACTACTAACATTTTCGAGCCGAATTATTAAAAATGGCAACAAACTTGACTAATTAAGTAATTCTCAGATGATGATATAAACTGTGATAACGGAAATCTCATCATGAATGAATAGAGGCCTGTAAAAAAAAAAAAAAAAAAAATTAACTCACTTTTTTTTTTTCCTTCAGATTTCCCCAGTCAAGATCTGTGACTTTGACTTGGGCAGTGGGATCAAGCTGAACAGTGACAGCTCACCCATCTCCACCCCTGAGCTCCTTACTCCTGTAAGTCCAGTTGTAGATTGTACCTGTCTTTTTTTTGCTTAACAGTTTGGTCTACCATTTTATGAAAGGGAACATGGATGGGCGGTTTTAAATGCAGTATGAGTATTGCTATTGAGAACCAGGGAGAGATGAATCTGTCATGCAGTCTTGGTCACGTCACTGTGGGGTGGGGGGGGGGTTGTCATCTCTTGGATAAGCTGGGTGTTTTCAGGCTGTAAAACAATTTCTTTATCAAGACGAAGAGACTATCTTGTTATTGGGCAATTCTGAGTGGTGTGAGCGCCATGACAGCTTGCTGATTGGTTAGTAAATGTTGTTTTGAGGTTAACATAGTTCAGTGTTGGGCAGGCTCTCGACAATAACTTGTATTGCTTCCTGATTGCCCCTGTCTGGTAGAATTAACCTTTTCTTATCATGCAGAAACACTTGCAAAGATATGCCTCAGTTTAACGTCAACGTCCTGTTGCTTATCAGTCCAAACATTGAGACCAGTGACTGTTTGGGGTTACGATTGGTTAACACTCTGCTGCCGTCACAACACAAAACTAATTCTCTGAACACTGTGCTGGACCCTAGAAACCTCAAAGTGGAGGGGTAAAGAGGAATTGGCAAGCTTTCTACTTGTGTCAACAAATACCCCTTCTGCTTGTTGTCTGAGGGTCTGGATGGATGGATGGACCAGAGCAGGTGAAGGATTGAAGTTTAGTCTGCAGGAATGTAAGTGTGGGTGGGGGTTTTCACTACTGGTAACTTCATCTTCCTTTTGAGAGAAAGAATGGGTAGAGAGCCCATCCCTGAAAGAGGACCGAGAGGCCTCATGTTTAGTCTACATGGTTTATGTTGGGCCTGAGCAACTATGGATGTTTAATGTGGTGGGCTGCAAGTATTACTTTGCCTGGTTCTTATTTATGTATCCTCCATCCTTGCATTTTATAACAACTTCAGTTGTGTGAGAAGTTTATTTCCAACAGGCCTTGAGATAAACTTGTCTTCATTGACATTTTGCTTTAAGCCTGAGGATAAGAAGCAATGTTATAACCTTGGTGGTTGATTATGGCTGCAGGGAATACAATGTGACTTCAACAAGGCCGTTTCCTGTTGCATAAAGATGTAACATTGAAACCAAAGCACACTAACTCTTGCTTATTTTCCTTTTCTCTCTGTGGTATGAGAAAAACATCCACACAAGCTTTCTTCTTAGTCTCCGCCCAGTGGCCCCAACCGCGCTTGTGCTGGTCTGCGCTTTCATTATGTTCTTTATACAAAGGCTGTGCATAAGGCTTGTTCTAGAAATGTACTCTTTGCCCGTATACCTAGCAACTGAGATGTGATTGGCTAGACCCGTGGGAGGGGGAGGGTAACTGGGAGGGACAAAGACTCAGCCTGCTCATGCGCTCTGGCTTGTTTTCTTTGCCATGATCACAAGAACAATGTTATCTGATTTTCATCGTGCTATTGGCAGTCTCTCCCTGCCCCCACTTTGCCCAGAGTTGCTGTTGCACACTATTGTGTGCTTTAAATGTTTTGTTATGTTACTGATCACGCTGAAAGGGTTTAATAAACTTTATCTAAGGCCTGATTAAAGTTTACCGTGGATGTTTTTTTTGCGTGCTCTCTTGTAAAATCCTGAACGTCAGGAACTCGTGGAAAAGGAAAGGGGCCTTTCCAGGAAAAAGTTAATATTAGTCTACAAAGAAAGCTGCACATGAAGCAGCCTGTCTTTCAGCTTGGCATGAAATTAGTCCCAAATGTTATGGTTCATGTGCTGCACTTAGAAATGGAATTGAGAGAAGGTGCAACATGAAGACACAACACTTAAACATTTAATAAAAAAAAAAAAAGATCTGCCGACATTATTTTACTGTCGCAGCTGCAGCTGCATGGCGACAGTACAAGGTTTTTCCCCCCCCACATCTTTTACAGCCTCTCCACATAATCCTGTCATCAGTTTACAGACGGCGGTGTATGTCATCAGTGGTGTCAATATGGCCTGACTAGTCACATGGCTTCAGGAAAGCCCCAGGTTATGATACCAACATATCCTGCAGTAACTAACATCAGCTGATTGGCAACTATCTATGCTTCTTACTGGAAGTATTGAAGAGGATGTGACTGATTCAGATCAGCAGCAGTACAAGCAGAATGGTCTGTGATTTCTGGTAGCTGAAACAGTCTTGTACTGGTTATGTTGATACTGGTTGGTGTGCAATTTGTGGCTCGTTTTTTGAAAATGGATTAACCTTAAAAGCACATAGTTTCACTGTACCATGGCACGCAAAATATATTGTATGCCCATTTCTTTTCGTAGCTGCATTTGGCCTGAATCCTGGGGGCTTGTCTGTGGAGGCAGTCGCCCCAGACATGATTTTGTTGGTGGCAGCGTGGGGGTTGGGTTTTTTTTCTCTCCAATAGAGGCAGCTTTGTCTGGGACTAGATTCCTGTGCAGCAAATTTCATTACATAAGGGTGCAGCAGGCTGAAAGGAGGAGCTAGGAGACAGCTGGGATGTGGTACTGGTACACAATAGAGCCCTGCTCAACATAAACATGCTTGCCCACAGATGGAAGAAAGGATATAGGCCAGAATGGTCAGTTAAGGTCTCATGTGGAACAAAGACTTAAAAACAAAAATGTGTTTAGGGTGGATAAACAGCTTCTGAGATTTCTAGATGATGTGATTTAAATAGAAAAGCAGTGGCTTAAATTTATAGAATCAAAACACATCTTTTCAATAGTCATTAGACCATAAAAGAATTTGGCAATGGTGTAATGTCTTACCCACAAATATCTTCATTTCTTAGGTGAACTAGTGACCTGCTCCTCTTTTCTGTTCCCTTAGTATTAAAACAGCCTTTGGTGTTTGTGTTTCCAAGTTATGTAACTGATGAGGGCTAAGCCAAGTCTCGGGCGTTGCAGGACAACCCAATCCTCTTTTCCATGCTCAGTGTTTGGCCCAATTTCTCTCCTAGCTACATAACAAGGCACAGTCAGAACTAGGCCTGTCATTGCCCTCAGCCCAATCTGCCTGGCTTGTCGACAGCTGAATGGTCAAAGCCTTGACTTACTGCTGCTGCTGCCTAACCAAACCGACCTGCTTCTTTAAAGCACAACCCTCCCTCCTCCATCCCTGATACCTAATTGTACACTATGTTCCTACTTAGCTGTCCCCAGGGCATTGAGAAAAGCTGTATACAAGGCATTTTAAATGAACCCATCACTGCAGATAAGCATGTGACTGTCACATATACACCACCACCACCACACAGCCCTAGAGTGGGCCCCAGGCTTTAGTGCTCCCACCACGAGGTATCAGCTGAGCTGAAGAATGTGGGCTGCAGCTCAAACAAGCTTGTCTTTCTCTTGACCCTTTTTCTTTCTGCCAGTCTCTTCTTCTGCTCGTCCCTGTGACAGAAAAATCATATATTTTTCTTCTTTTGTCTTACAGTGTGGCTCGGCAGAGTACATGGCACCTGAGGTGGTTGAAGCTTTCAGTGAGGAGGCCACAATTTACGACAAGCGCTGTGACCTGTGGAGTCTTGGAGTCATCCTCTACATCATGCTAAGTGGCTACCCACCCTTTGTAGGCCGCTGTGGTGGTGACTGTGGATGGGAATTAGGGGAACCCTGCCACACCTGCCAGGTATTATTTGACACATCCACTAAACTCTTCCGCTTGCCTCCATCTTGTGTAAAACATTTTTGAACAGAAACAATTAACACTTTCTCGCCAGGTCTGTAACTAATGGTAAATATTTTTCTATACACTTCTAGAACACTTTGTTTGAGAGTATTCAGGAAGGAAAATACGAGTTTCCAGAGAAAGACTGGGCTCACATCTCCTCAAGTGCCAAAGACCTCATATCCAAACTTCTGGTTCGAGATGCCAAAAACCGCCTGAGTGCCAGCCAGGTTCTGCGGCACCCCTGGGTGCAGGGGGTAGGTTTAAAGCCATCAAGCCTCTTCTAAATGTCTTTTAAAAACATTTTGTATGTCTATCAAAAGTTTGAGCTTCTGATTAATCTTCTTCTTTTCTTTTTTTTTTTAATTCAGGGTGCATTTGACACTTTGCCAACATCAATCTTGCATCAAAGGTGAGAGAATGTTAATCCAATATCCTGCGTTCTTCAGGATACTTGAGCCTATGATATTTGTGACTTGTACTGAATTAAACTGACTTTCTCTGCTTTTGTCCAACAGAACCAGCAATGCCAGGGATCTGACTTTCTTCGCTGGCAAAGCCATGGCTGTGAACCGGCAGCTGGCTGAACAGGATGGCATTGAAGACCAGCAGCAGCAGGAAGTCCCCTTTGTTGTTACCGCTACTGGCTCTTCTATGCGCCTCTCTCCTCCTTCCAACTCTAAGCTGGCCCGGCGTAGGCAGCTGAGCAACCAGCCTAACGGAGGGCCCGTCTCTGCTGCAGAGCTGCGACAGCTCTTGGCTCCTCTTGTTATTGTGGGAGACTGTGCCTGAACTCTGTCAACCCTGACCTCCGACCTTCCGTTAAGATTAATGTCTGGACAGCCCTGAGACTCTCCCTCTCCACTTCTGGCCCTTCTTCCTGACTCTAGCTGGTCTTGGTTCCTCTGCCATTCAGGCTCTCTTGCCTCGCTGTAAAGGGCGATGCAGCACGCATCCCTTTCTCTAAATGCCTTCTGCCTTTCTGCAGCACTTCTGAAGCACATCAGCCCAGGGCCAGCTTATAGCAAACACACATGAGCATGTCAGGGTTTGGGAGGAGGGTCAGTTCATGATTCGGGAGGGAGAAAGGAAAGTTATTTTCTTTTTTCCATGAAACTCAGTTCAAAAGAAATCCAAACACGCATCGTTCAAGACTAAGCTCAGACACCAAAGGACTACCTGTTGTGCTGCTCCCACGTTACAACTGGATCCACTGTGAATTAAGTTATCTGGAATGTTCTCTTCGCCTGTATGTATATGCATGAATGGCCCCTCTGCAGATACGTACAAGCTTATGCAATATGCCAAGGGAAAGGCTGTTTCTGTCTCCAAGGGATTCAGTATGAGGGTTTGGAAGGGCTGTAAGCCAATGCTGTCCGTGCCTGGTGTGTTCCACTTTGTGGCTGGAGACTTCAAAGATTTTTTTTTTTTTTCAATTTAAGATTAATTCCTTAACACTGAGCCTCTTCTGGAAATGTCTGAGATTAAACAAGCCAGATCTAACTTGGTGGCCATGCACTTACTGCTCCTAGATAGAGCATGGAATGTTTGTCAGTACACCCATTCATAGTTTATTTTATGAACATGTATTCCAAATTAACTTTGGCCACACTTTTTAGTGTTTATATGCCATCATTGGGCAAGTATAATAGTATTGAGTTAAACTACTGCACTTAATACATGAAGCAGGGTAATCCCAAAATTGGACATCTGACCCTGCTCTGAAGTACGTATATATTCAGTATGTTCATATAAGCTCATGTTAAATTTCTTCAAGCTAAACTGGGTCAGTGTTGCTTTCATTGAAAATAATTCATGACATGTCCCCTGCTACAACCAGAACTTGTATTTTTCTTTTTTTATACATCTGCAAGTCAAGTTATGCATTAGATTAAACCTTGAATATTTTGGCAGTAAAGGCTAGAACTCGTCTCAGGGGGTTTGAGAAGCACATTTTGGCCAAGGTGACCCAAATGTCAATGATTGATTGAATACATTTTTTTTTGGACCTTTTTTTTTTTTTTTTTGTCTTGTTTTTGATTAGTTGACCCTTTTCTAAAAATAATGATCTCATTACAAATGAAGAGGCAGGTAAGACTTAAAAAAAAATCATTAAAAAAGGAAAAACATTCCACAAAAAGAGGGGAAAAAAAAAAAAAAAAAAGTCTTCCACGGACGTGTAGCTGTATTAAGTTTACTTAATTTTCTTGTTTGAAAACTCCATGTCAATGTGCCACACTGATTTCTTGTCCCCTTTTTTCTTTTATATAGCTGTTGATAAGCTTTTTTTTTTTTTTTTTTTTTCTACATGGTGATTTTCATGCAGGTGCTGTTCAGTTCAGGTGAAACACCGGTTGTTTTCCTTTATTATTTTTTTATGTTTTGTGTTTTTAAAAGTTCAGAGTATGTTGTGTTCAAGGTGAGGTGGGAAGTAAAGTTAATCTGGAGCGTTCATGCCCAGCGAAGGCAAGTTTTTAGTTTTTATGTACAAGAGTTGGCAATAATCTTGTTTTGTTTTTTTTGTTCAGATTAAGTTCATTAAGCTCATCTGAAGCTGACAGGTAATGGACTTGGTGATGAGGTCTCACAACACTGTAGCCATTTCACCAAAGACGGTTCAAGTCATGATATTGAACATGTGATCATCACCTGGCAGTGAGAAGTGGGGACTTCTGATTGTCCACGTCCTGTTGCCAGCACTGCAGCGACGGTACTCTCTACAAAGTGGCTCCCTTGGTGTCAAAGGACCCATTATGCTGATAATAGGACACTGTAATAGTTCTGAAATACCTTTTCTACAGATGCATAGCTATGGGGTTTATGTCTTATAATAAGACTTACTTGAATTTGTGTATGCAGCTGTTTTCTTCTCCACTTGGGAAACTACTTTGCTATCAGTAATGTCGAAGCATAAGGCTGATGACCAAGGCAATCCTGGGGTTTTTGAATTACCAATACAGTTCAGTATTCTGCCTTTTTCTCCCTTTTGAGCATCAGACAAGTGAGTCCCTACTTTTTGTTAGGGTTGGATACTCAAAAGCGCACAGACTTTGGCCATACTCTGTCATATCCTTAATGGTGTAGAGTTTTCTTGGTCATGACCATTTCTATTTTGTCACATGGCAGTGGCTTTAAATACTGCCTTTTACTGGGGGGGGGGGGGAAGGGGACAAAATGATATCTCTAAGCCTCGCAATTTTTATATTGTCAGTCATTTTGAAGTAAGGACGTGTAGAAATTCAGTGATTCATTCATTCAAATGGACAGTTCTTCATCATCCTCCCCACAATTTGAATGTAGCCCACAGGCAAAAGCATTTACAATCCAGCAACATTGATCAAATGTTTTATAGTTTGTGTCATGGACATGGTGTGGGGTTATTCTGTCCATTTCTTTTCTTTCTTTTTTTTTGAGATGACAGATCTGATTAACACTGTCTGAACCACGCCCCATCCCCCAACCCCATTGTGTATATGGGAGGAAATTTGAAATAAATACATCCTTTAAAATACATAAAGATATTTTGATTTAAAATAAGCACTTTACTGTACCATGTGAATGATTGCAGTTCACTCAAAGCAACAGCTATGACAGTTGCAACAGAATTTTGTATTGTTTTTCTAAAAAAAAAAAATGCAATAAAATGCTTTGACCTACACTCAGTCTTCTGTCATTTACTGTAAATGTTTTCATGTTTAGTTAAACAGTTAAGGCAAAACATGTCCCCTGGTATCTCTAGTTTTATATTAACCAGCAGTGTTATCTTGTGGCCAAGGCTAACGCAGCTTCATCTGATTCCCTGCTTTAAATCCCCTTTATCAGTTACACTCCCTGATACCTGAGCTGACTTGTCACGTGTCCTTGGTTGTTGGTGAATATGAGCAGTTGTCTCCACACACACACACACACAGAAATGTGACTTGTTTCACCTTGCATTAGTCATGCTGAGAGCTGCTGCTGCTGCGATATGACGAGTGGGGGGGGGGGCCTCCTCACAGCTCCACAGGGCTGATCTGACGAGACTGACGCAACCTGCTGCAAGAGCTGCAGCAGCTCAGTGAACCACCTCATGATCTTCCTGGAAATAAAACCACACCAATTATGCTAAATTAACAAAAGTGCTGGTGCATCATACCGACAGCGCTGCAAGTTGGGACCTGTCATCAGGTTAAAATCAGCTGCACACACACAGAATGAGGGATGTGGGTTTGGACGAAAGTTGATGTCATGTTCCAGAGAAATTAATAGCAAAAGAGAAGACAAAAAAAAAATAGGATAGATGATCATTTAATTTATTTTCTCACTCATTACAAAATAACAACACACAGAACACACTGCCTAAACACATTTCATGATTTAAAAGGAGCAATTCAAGAAAAACAACAACAAAACTAAATACAAATCTCTTCCCCTTTTTTACTTCTTCAAAACATAAAAATCAACAGTACAATCTCAGGGATGGATAATGTCATTTTAATGTAAATAAATACTCAGTAACTGTCCTTTCATTATTGGTAGTGAGTGTATTATTTACATCTCACTTCATCATTTAGTCCATGAAAAGTAAAGGAAATGTCCATCTAAAATTGTAAGATGTCCTCTCCTGATGTCTTGTATTACCTGAATAACAGTCCATTTAAATTTACATACAAATACAGGGAAGCCCTAACTTGTGTAACTTCAAATATTCTCTGATGTGTATTCATTTATCACAATCATAATACTTATAATTTATGGATTAATCATTCTTAAAGTCTTCCCCATTTAATTTTGAACTTGCAAGAACAAAAAAAAAGAAATGCATTGCGTAATTTCTATTTCAGCATTGTTGGCGTCATAAGGCAGAAGAGGAAATTAAATGATGCAACAGCAGCAAGTTTTCTGTGCAAGCTGCAGAGATGGTTGAGAAATATCAGGTGTTTGTCTCCCCCTAGTGGAGCTTTTACATCAACCTCTTCTGTATTTAGTAATACTGATGAAATGGTAAATGGACTTCTCAAAGCGAAGTTTACAGTCCACACTCACACACTGATGACAGAGGCTGCTACGTAAAAGTGCCCAACGGCCCCACAGTACTAATCAGTCAATTTAGCAGTGGGTACAGTTTGGGGTTCAGTTCCCAGAAATGTGAATCAGAGTCCGCTTTATTAGCTAGGAAATCTTAGACATACAGGGAATTTGACTTTGATAAACAGTGCTCTCCTTCCTTTAGAATAACATTAAACATTGGCACTAAACAAATAAGACAACAGTGCAGTGGTGAGGAAAAGATGCTGAAATGAACATGATGGGTAAGTAGGTAACAGATGGCTTCATTTACTTGAGAGAAATGTTTTTACAGTTTTGACATTGTGGCTGCAGCAGCTTCCGGTAAAAGGCAACAGACTCAACCACTAAGCCACAGTTATCATGATGATAACTACTACATTTACTAGTGAGTAAAAGTACTTCATCAACTCCCCTGAAAAACATGTTTCTAAAATGTTTTGGTTTTTACTATTTGAGAGAAACTAATTCATTCCTTTTGTATGCAATGAAGAATATACTCTCTGAAATGTCATGCTACAAGATTACTTAGATTGCATTTAATACATCAAGAAGGTTTTGCTGATAACACCAAATAACTTTCCGTACAATGGTACCATCCTTTCGTGTTTGTTTCATGTATGGTTTTTACTCTTTTTTTTTGACTTCTCCATTACCGATTTTTAAGACATATGTCATAAAGATGCAGTGGATAATGTTGCAAACAGAAATTGCTAGAACTAACTTTAATGTTGTACTTTCCCTGTTACAACAGAGGAGGGAAACAAATCCTCTTTGTGTGAACTGCTGGTCATGAGATTAAAAGTCATGAGATCAAATTCTCAAAACCTGAAATGGGTCAAGTTATTTTTTTTCCGTCTGCACTAAGTACATTAAAATGTTTTGTGAGAATACTAGAAAAATACTGTTGACTTAATGATTAATAAAAAACTTAAATTATTCCGGTATACATTGAAAGATTTATTATAATTCAGATCTAATTATTTAATAACTCATTGTTACTCTTCTCACAGAAATGAGTGCAATATTGTCGCTTCATATCTAATGAAATAGGAAAACTATAAACATTTGAGGAATAAAAAATTCATAAATGAACAAAACAAACTTCATTTTTTTCAAAAAAATTAAGTTACCTGCTTTCCATTGGGAGCCAGCATGCATCAGGACCCTGAACCCAAAGCAAGGATCACACTTTTTTTTTTTATTGTGCTCTTCTTTTCCTACATGTTTCATAGTTTTTATGAATGAACTGTTTAATTTGTCAAATGGGTTACAAGTGTTTTAGGTTTTTCTTTGAGTTCTCCAAACATTTAACTGCTTTGGTATGAGAGCCTGAGACTTTTGTAAAACTGTACACTTTAAAAATATGTTTAACCCATTTAATACTCCTCATTCTTAGTTCATTCAAAGGTACATTTTATTGCAAACTATATCCTACAAATTACAAAATAAGGTCAGCACATTTAGAAACACTTAGCCTAATAGAGATCATTGTCACATAAATATCTACCATGGAAATATTCTGCAGAGAGAACAAGTATTATGCGCACCTGCTTAACACACCTGTGAGTCATAATCAATGGGCCTGGAGATAATTGGATCACGTGTCCTGCCTGGAGTTCACAAAGGCTTGTTGGCACGTGCTAGCATGAAGTTTGAGACTGGAGCTGGAGGTAGGTATCATGAAACGCTTTAGGGGAGCATGTGTAAATGATATATATATAGTTTTTAAGTACATGTCAGAGCCATAGACTGTAAAGGGTGTTGACACAAGGAAATTAAGCCAGGGCGAATTAAAAGTAAAAAAAAAATGTATAGGCTATAATTAAATAATGTTCTTTAAAAGAAAAAGTTCAGATGAAGTATTCCTCGTTAGGTTGCCTTATTTTCTAATAAAGCTTTAAAAAGAACTTGCTAAAATCTATATTTAAGATACTGTGTAAACGTGCATGCACTCCCAACTGGATTGACTTAAGAGCAGTTCAACATGTTGGTGACTGTGGTTATTCGCAGCCTTATTTATCTCTGGTCGAAGCCATGAACAGTGTTTAAAAAAAAAAAATGTAATTCACAGAGAATAGGTTCATGTTGCAAAATGTCAAACTGTGGTTATTTGTTGCTGGGTTTGGCTGACGTTGCTTTTCTTTGCAGGATACTTGACCTGCGGACTGAGGACGACGCCTCTCTGGATTCCTGTGAAATAAAAAAATAATCAAAAAACGTGTCTTTTTTTTAATTTAAAAACAAAAAACAGTGGACCGACGTTTCTTTGTGATTAAAAAAATATTAAGTGTTTTCTACCTGACACATCAACACATGGCCTCTACCATCTAACAATAACCCGAAGGCCTTCAGTCTAAAACTACTCATGAACTTGAATGAAGGGAAGTGAAGAGATTAATCAAACAAACTGCATTACGTTTTGCATTGTTGACTTAAAGTCTGCAGGCTACTGAGCGTTAAATCTACAACAATAAACGCCTCTCCTGTGGCTGAGCCATCAAACATCACAACGTCAAACATTTCCAGAGAGAGTTGCGTGTTTACAATCCCGTGACGTCGAGCAGCGCGACACGTGAATTCACGCGATATTTCATCTCCTCCACCCCCCCCCCGCTCCCCCCCCTCTCTTTACCAATCCAACATGGCGCTGTAGGGACGTTGTTATTGTTCCGTCGCTCTCAAAGATTTTTCAGTTTCGACAGAGACTACGCAGAAAAGAAAGCGGCCGAGTGTGTTCCTGCGGGTATGAGAGGAACATTTGGAGACAATGTTAAGATCCACCGGCTTCTTCCGAGGGATTGACTGTCCGTTTTACGCGGAGTGCAGCGAGGATAAAGGCAGCAGGAATGGGTGCAACAGACCGTACTGTCACTTCAGACACAGCAAGCAGAGACGGGCTTCATACGGAGCAGCAGCAGATGTAAAGAAGCAGAGAGGTCTTCAGTCCGCACAGAAAGGTGCTGAGTATGAATAGAAATACAGCTTTGAATACTTGGAGCAGAGTTGGTAACATGGTGGTGTGTGTGTGTGTGTGGGGGGTGGGACTGGGGACTGGACCAAGAGTTGATGAAACCAGTAACGTTGCTGGTCAGCTTCTATCACCTTTAGCTGCACTCCATGAACATGTGCAGCATCCTCAAGGTTATGTCTCCTGATGCGAGGAGGTCTAAATTACCTGTGCAGGTGTGTTGTCCAAGCAAATAAAAGCCCAGGATTTGTTGTGATGTGTTTTCAATTGCAAAACAAAAACAAACAAAACCCATGGAGACCTTAAATATTCTAGAAACCGAAAAGTTGTGTGTTTTTCTTTAAAAAAAAGCATGATTTGGACTTGAGGACTTGAATGCTGTGGGTGAGAGAGAGAGAGAGCTCTCATCTGTTAGCAGGAAATGCATCTCAGGATGTAGTTAAACAATAAGGCAGTGCTTTGACTGATGGGACAGTACTTTGTTGTCATCATATGTTCCCTGAAGACTAATACCCCACTTGTCCTACTGTGACTACCTCACATCTCATGTGAACCCATCTCTGCACAACTTTTTGAGAGAGTCTTGGCTTGTAATTATTTCAAATGCAGGTTGTTTCAAATTGTAATCATGTCCATTGCAT